GCGAAATTGGCGAGATGGTTGCTCGGATTTTGCTGCTTCTGGCGATGGACACGTGTGTGATGGGGGACAAAGACTTTTCCCAGTGCTACCACACGATCGGGCAATTTGTACCGGTGCAGGATTTCTTGGACGTGCTGCAAGGCAACAAGGAGAGACCGATATATTGTAAGGGGATGTACAACGCGGAAGATAAGAGACCAGAATTCAACAAGTGGTGCTCGAAGTGGGATGGTTGGTACATGGGGTTCACCCACTTTGTGCAGTTGCAGCTTGAGCCGAATGAGGACACGCTTTGGTTTTTGCTGGGGCGTCAAGCTGCAGGTATTTTCCCCCGTAACCAGTATGGAGCCGATTTGTTGATCCCGATGTTTAAGAAGAGATCCAACAGCAGGCCAGTCGGTGGGGAGACAACGAGGGGTGAACAAGAGGAGCAGGAAGTGTTGATGATGTTGATTCAAGTGAAGAATCGTTCCCCAGTCGATGGTGGGTTTTCTAGGGCAGCGACGGAGAAACTATGCCCCTGGTTTGTGTTCGGAAAGAACAGTGATGGGAACTCGTCAGCGGGGAAATCTACCGGTGAAATTGGTGGGGATCCGAAACCGCTGAGCTCTACGGATGTCCGTGATACCATTCGCATCTACATGAATGTGCGCGGTCGGAAGAGTGACGGCAAGTTCATCTATGCCACGACAATGAAAGACAATCTTAAGCCCAAGAAGAAAGGCAACGCCTCTGAGGTGAAGGAGGAGAGTCAGACGATCGGGAGTCAGGCGAAGAAGCGGGCGAAGATCGAGAGCAATCCTGGCGTCTCAAGTGTGTCGAGTGTCTCGGAGGAGGAGCCTGTTTTCACGATCTGCCTCCGTTTACTCAACAGGGTCACCTACCCGTTCCTGAGCGAGGACGTGGCTTCCATTCTATCAAACATGGTGGAGTCTCAGTATGACCCGCTGGGGCTTGTGGAGGGCGACCTGGACTATCGCGATGAAGATGCAAAACGGAACGA